GTGAGACTGAGGTTTGTCTGGCCTCGACCCGTTGACCTTTCAGGCATGCTTGGATCTACGGCTGTGAAAAGCCATCCTGTGTAGCTCGCAGGGTCATAGAGGCAGGCAAGTCATCACACCACGTCAAGGTGCAATCTCGTCGTGATGGAGTCTGTCCTCAGACAAGTGTGAAATATAATATAATATACAAACATGCATAAAGCCTATTGCTTATAGTTCTGAGTAACCGAAAGTTCATTGCCTAGTTGAAAATGACGTCCTTACTATTCTAAATCCGGTAAAGCCCTGGTTACGTTGACACGTCGAGACCCAGCTAACAGCACATTGCACAAAGAGAGAAAGAGAGACTTAGTTTTGTAATGCCGAAGAAAAAAGCACTGCTGTGTGGTTGTGAACCACTAAAATGAATGAAGATGAGGGTAACGGAGAAAATCGCATTTTGGAATTCCATAATTTTTTGGCGTAAAACTACTCTTTAATGTAAGGCGAACGGGGAAAGCACACTCCGTCGATCATGGCGTTGGGTGGGTGGGAGGGAAAGAGATTCGCGTAAATTTCGAATACCTTACAGGGGAGCATGAAATGTACCGCTCTCAAATGGCCCGCCTAATCTATTTCTTCAATGTGATAACGGTGAGTGACATGCAGATGCGGAAAGCAAAGAGGGCAAAACACTTAGTCCCGATTTGAACTCACATGCAATCGAACAGACAGATGGCATAAACTTTGATGCAACTGGGCACAGGCTGCACCCAGATCTGGATGAACCGGAGCTAAGTGGAGAATACACGCATTGGTTGGACTGGTCAAATCCATCGTTCGCTCCGTGCTACCGTAGTCCGTCATCTGGCCTGGATCACTGTTGGTTCGCTCGAATCCGGCCGATTTCATATGAGACAGACCGAGGGACAACCAACGTCGAAGACGAGTGCTACTTTCACATAAGAATGTCCAGGCGGAAAAAGGACGTTCGGCCAGCAAATGACAAGTTATCAAATTGGATAATTCCACTGAGGCAGTAAACAGTGGGGCCAGAGTGCCTCGAGTGCTCATCAATGCGAGCCAGCTCAAGGCGTAGCGTAAGCGGCGACTATAAGCCGATCGGGATTCAGCTGGACCGTCGTTTGACCGACGACTGAATCGATAAACCAGACCGTCCCATACTTCACGCGTGGGAACCCAGGTCGAACAAGCCGTGACGGAGGTCGAAAAGCAAGAACGACAGGAACAGGGATTTAACATAATGAGCCAGTGTGGATTCAATCCAAACTAGTCGAAAAGTAGAGCGATAAACAAGAAAATATCTGAAATTTTAACCGATTTTAGCATGCAATAGAACGACAGTGGGGTGAAAGTTATCGATAACACATATGAAAGAGTGCGAAACTAGGGAACCAGATTAACGAAAGATTGAGAAACAATATCGAGATCGCGAAAAGTAATACTGGCTTCACTATTGCAGGCAAAATCAAACAGTCAACCACAACAAAAACGGAATACGAAAATAAACTCATCTGTTACTGACAGTGGTAATGCCAATTTGAAGCAGCAGGAGTGAGTCAAACGTTGATCGCATTACAGGACCTTCGCCACAAAGTCACTTCGGATAGTAAAAACGTCTGTTCTCTAACAATCGATACATATACCCCGCTCGGATCTCGACGCCGGTTTATACAACTGTCTGTTTTATGCACCGGCCGAATGATTGAAATTAGGATGACCACAGGGTACAGGCTAGAGCGTGTCATCTATATCCCACTCGGATCTGAGTGATGTAATGTAATCGAAACAGTTCAGATTATGCACATATTAATGAATTGTCCACTGGCGTTAAGTAGAGGCATTGCTACCGAGTTGTCCATAAGAGAGAAGGGAAATTTTTCATGGGGATTCACAACCAGAGCATTGGACTAGCCAGCAACCGGACCACTAGACGGTGAGATGATGCCTGAAGACCGTGGTTCAATGAGGTCTGGCATGAGATCAGACAGATTTTACATCGTACCTTTCCAGAAAAGTCAAAATGGTTTTGTGGAGCCCAATCACAGCGATGCTCAATGCTATTTTGCATTATGAAACAAGTTTACGAGTATCGAATGGGCTAATTTAGCATTTCCATTACTCCTGAATACTGCGTAGCGTAGGCCTTTTGTGTTGAGCATGAATGCAGCGAAACTCGATGTGAAGGAGAGACATCCAACAGATATATATATAT